AGAAGATTCTGAGAATAGGGCAGTGTTCTCTCTTCAGAAGAATGGTTGGTATTTACCAACAGAGTGTAAAGGCAAGGTGTGCTCATGTCACATGTTTGCCAGATGACTTAGGAGATCTACAGTGAGCATGATTTGACAGCTCAGCTTCTGATCAAAGTGAGGCACTGGACTGTTCAAGTTACTCACTTTGGAAAGAAGAAAGCAGATGGCCTCCTCTCTCACCACACAGGTGGCTGGGAGCTATATCAGAATCATCACCACTGCCACTGCCACCATGGCTTCAGAATTATTGTCATGCCAAATACTGGTCATCCTTCGAGGCATTTAAACATACTGAATGCATTTTTTAACTTTTACTATTATTATTTATTGGCAGCCTCATCCCACCCTGAGGGCAGGGCTGGCATGGCATGTGGTGCTGGGGAATGAACCGTGGTCCCCTGTGCCTGCCTGTTTGTCTAAGCAGGTGCTTTAGACCACTGAGCTCCCTTGCTGGCCCCTGCATTTTGCAACTATTGATGTCTGTGTAATTTATTTTTAGCTTTATGTAGATGTAATTGACAAAAATTGTGTGTGTTCAAGGTGCACAGCATGATGTTCTAATAATAGGCACAGGTTGTGAAATAATTACTGCAACCAAATTGATTAGTATGTCCGTCACCTCTCACCATGTGTGTGTGCATGTCTCTAAAGGGCCGTGTGTGTGTGTGTGTGTGTGTGTGTGTGTGTGTGTGTGTGTTGTGTTCCTGTGCATGTGGTGAGAACCCTGAAGGTATGTTCTTTTAGGAATTTTCAAGTGTACAACAAAGTTACTATTGACTACAGTCTCCAAGGTGCACAGTAGATCTCCAGAATTTATTCAACTTATAACTCAAAGTTTGTACCTTTGGACCAACAACTTCCTATTTTTCCCAGGTCATGAATATTGTTTAGGTTGAAGATTCAGTTAAGAAAATAGTAAACTGGATATAAATTCTCCCCAGTTCCCACTGCTAGTAAGTGACAGTTTAGAGTTTTGAATCTGGACCAGTCTACTCTAAATTCTCAGCTTCAAGCTCAGTCTAAGTTTATATACTTCTATAGTAAACTTTGAGCACATACTCCCTGCATATGTTTATGTATTAGTAAATGAATATAATTATGTCGATTTAAAAATGTTAGAACATATGTTTTAAAGAATAGGAGTGGGAGAGCTTCCAGCTACCCTGTGCTGGTGGGACCTGCCAGTCCCAGCTCAGGCACAGCATGGGTGTGAAACTCTTCCACACCCTTGGGGTCAACCCCAACACTTGGCAGCACCCCTGCACCTCGCCCGACACATGAGAATTTCTGTTGCATTCTAGGGACTCCCAGATCCAGTCCTAGCCCAGGTCCGGTGAGTGTGTGGGAGGGCTTCCAGCTACCCTGTGCCAGCGGGAGCTGCCAGTCCCAACAGAGGTGCAACATGGGTGAGACCCTCTTCCACCCCCTGAAGACCCCCACCACAACTCCGCAGCACTCCCCACCCCCAGCCTGCCCACCGCGGGAGAATTTCTGCTGCTTTTTAGGGACCCCCAGATACAGTCCTAGACTAGGCCTGGTGAGCGTATGGGAGAGTTTTCTCTCCCCACTACTCCACCCTTCCCCTCCAGACTCAGCTTAGGCCTGGCATACAGGCCTGGGGTGAAACCCTGCAACTGAAATCCCTGCAGAGAGAGTAAGGGACAGAACCACTCAGCTAGTTCAGGAGCAGAACATCTTGTCAGAGGGGCACAACAGGTTCACTCCCAAAGGTGGCAGCAGAAAGGAGGTGAGCACAGCAGCCAGACCCAAGCCAGGCACAGCTGAATAAATCAAACCTTTGTAGACTCGCACCTGAACTTCAATAGGTGTTAAGGTTATAATTGCACCAAAGCTCTACAACAAAGGTCAGAAGACAGTGCTACACAAAATGCCAACGAGAAGGAACAAAATGCAATCTCCAAACCCAAGCCCACCCATAACAAGTGCAGAGGACACTAACACAGAACAAAGTGGGAGTCACACAGCTGAAATCAATGAATCAATGGCTTCTGAAATAAAGAAACAGCTGCAGAAAGGTATAGAGGAACTCAGATTGGACATGAAAAAAGAAATCCCTGAATTAATAATATCTGCAGTCAAGAATCAAATGCAGAAACATATGGAGGAAACCCAATGCCCACCCAGAACAAGTGCAGAGGACACTAGTTCAGCTCAAATGGATGAATTAATAGTGTTGATAGTAAATAAGCAACAGAAGAAAGTGATAGAGGAACTAAGACTGGAATTCTTTTCTACTAGCTCAGCTCAAATGTACGAATTAATAGTGTCAATAGTAAAAAAGCAACAGCAGAATGTTATAGAGGAACTCAAAGCGGAATTTTCTGAAATAAGAAAAGAATTCTCAGAACTCACAGCATCTGAAGTAAAGAATCAACTATAAAAACATAGGCAGGAAAAACCAATATGAAAAAAACACTGCAGTAAAAGAATTAATAAATGCTTCTAAAGAAGACATTGATTAAAAAAAATAGAGGAGTTTACAAAAATGACAGATTCCTTGAATGAGCAATACAGGAAAGAAATAGATCGCATGAAGCAGAGTCAAAGAGATATAGAGAAATTTAAAATCTCAATCAAAAGCTTGCAAAATCGTTTAAGTGAAAGTGAAGACAGAATTTCAGATCTTGAAGACGCTGGTGCAGCTAGTGAAAAGATAAGAAAGGATCTCTTAAAAACAGCTAGGATGCGGGAAAAAATAATCCATCACCTGCAAGATGATGCAAAGATGAACAATGTGAGACTACTACACATCATTGAGAAAGAAGGAGTCAATACAAATCACATTAAAAAAATATGGGCAGAAGTAATAGCAGAAAACTTCTCAAATATGAGGAAACAATCTGACATTCAGGTAACCGAAGCATACAGAACGCCAAGGAACCTCAACCCAATTAAAAACACACTGAGACATATAATAGTCAAGATCCTAGAAATTCAGCAGAAGAATAATATACTGAAAGCTGCTAGAGAAAAGAAGCAGATCACATTCAAAGGAAAACCCATCAGAATTACAAATAAAAAATAAAATAAAATAAAAAATAA